CTGGACAATATCCAGACGTGCATTGACAAGTGACAAGTAACATTAGCGCCACACAAATGCCAGGCTCTGACCATCACCAATAAGAGACAATCTAACCACCCGTCCCTTGTCATTCAATGGTGTTACCATCACTGAATCCCCCACTATCAACATCCTGGGGGTTACCATTGACCAGACACTCAACTGGACTCACCACATTAACAGTGGCTACAAGAGCAGGTCAGAAGCTCAGAATACTGGAGTAACTTACCTCCTGACTCCTCAAATCCTGTCCACCATCTACAAGGCACAAGTCAGGAGTGTGATGGAATACTCCCCACTTGCCTGGATGGGGGCAGCTCCAACAACACTCAAGAATCATAGAATTCCTACAGTGTGGATGCAGGCCATTTGGCCTTTTGAATCTACACCAACCCTCCAAATAGCATCCCCCAGACCCAGCTCCCTACCCTATCCCTCAATTTCCCATGGTTATTCCACCTAACCTGCACTTTGACAAGGTGCCACACAGGAGGCTGCTGAGTAAGATAAGGGCCCACGGTGTTAGAGGCAAGGTGCTAGCATGGATAGAAGATTGGCTGTCTGGCAGAAAGCAGAGAGTGGGGATAAAGGGGTCTTTCTCAGGATGGCAGCCAGTGACAAGTGGTGTTCTGCAAGGGTCAATGTTAATGATGTAAATGAAGGAACTGTGGGCATTCTGGCTAAGTTTGCAGACTATACAAAGCTAGGTGGAGGGACAGGTAGTATTGAGGAGGTGGGGAGGCTGCAAAAGGATTTGGACAGGTTAGGAGAGTGGGTAAAGAAGTGGCAGATGGAGTACAATGTGGGAAAGTGTGAGGTCATGCACTTTGGTAAGAAGAATAAAAGCATGGACTATTTTCTAAATGGGGGGAAAATTCAGAAGTCTGAAGTGTAAAGAGACTTGGGAGTTCTAGTCCAGGATTCTCTCAAGGTAAACTTGCAGGTTGAGTCAGTAGTTAGGAAGGAAAATGCAATGTTGGCATTTATTTTGAGAGGACGTGAATATAAAAGCAGGGATGTATTACTGAGGCTTTATAGTTTACAGTGGGGAGGGAGAGAATGAGCTGGACGTTGAGGTTTATGTTGAAATTAATGGAATATAGTGGGAGTGGGATGAGGGAGTACAAATAGGCTTTCACAAGGTAGGGAGGAGGTAGAAATGCAGAGCTTTCAACACAGTGAACGCTGGATGGCTCCCAGTGCCTCATGCAAATGGCAAAGCAATTAGATAAAACAGTTGAAGGGATGACTGCAGAGATAGAAAGAGAGAGAGAGAGACGGGGCTGGAGAAGGGGAGGAGAGAGGGAGAGACGGGGGTGGGGAAGGCGGGGGTGGAAGAGAGAGAGAGGGGGGATGGGGAAGGGGAGGGGAGAGAGAGACGGGTTTGGGGAGGGGGGAGAGAGAGAGAAACATTGAATGAAAAAAGTATATCAGATCATGAAGACATTAGGATTAGAACTAAGAACAACACAGCACAGGAACAGGCCCTTCGGCCCTCCAAGCCTGCGCCGACACATTTTGCCCTTCCACATTAAAACTGTCTTCACTTACAGGATCCGTATTCCTCTACTCCCTTCCTATTCATGTATTCGTCCAGGTGCTTCTTGCATACTGCTGTTTTGTCTGCTTCCACCACCTCCTCTGGCAATGTGTTCCAGGCACTCACCACCCTTTGTGTGAAAAACTTGCCTCACACATCTCTTTTAAACTTCCCCCCTACCCCAGCACCTTGAACCTGTGTCCCCTATTAATTGACCTCTCCACCCTGGGAAAAAACTTCATACTTTCCACTCTATCCAAGCCATTCACAATGTTATAAACTTCTATTAGGTCGCCCCTTAACCTCCTGTGTTCCAGTGAAAACAAACCCAGTGTATCCAATCTTTCTTCTTAGCTAAAATTCCCCATACCAGGCAACATCCTGGTAAACCTTATCTGTACTCTCTCCAAAGCATCAGTATCCTTCTGGTAGTGTGATGGCTAGAACTGTATGCAATATTCCAAGTGTGGCCTAACTAAAGTTCTATAAAGCTGCAGCATAACTTGCCTATCCTTATACTCAATGACCCTTCCAATGAAGGTAAGCATGCCATAGGCCTTTTTTACTACCTTATCTACTGCACTGCCACCTTCAGTGATCTGTGGATCTGCATGCCCAGATCCCTCTGCATTTCAATACTCCTAAGGTTTCTGCCATTCACTGTATAATTTCCACCTGTACTTAACCTTTCAAAATGCTTCACCTCACATTTTCCGGATTAAACTCTATCTACTATTTTCCTGCCCATGCCTCCAACTGATCTATATCCTGCTGTATCCTCTGGCAATCCTCGTCGCTATTCCGTAACTCCACTGATCTTTGAATAGGCTGCAAACTCACTAATTAGACAAGACATGTTTTCCTCTAAATCATTTATGTAGACCACGAACAGCAGAGGTCCCAGCACTGATCGCTGTGGAACACCACTAGTCACAACCCTCCATTCTGAAAAGCATCCTTCCACCTCTACCCTCTGTCTCCTATCACTAAGCCAGTTCTGTATCCATTTTACCAGTTCACCCTGATACCATGTGACTTCAACTTTTGTATCATTCTGCCATGAGAGACCTTGTCAATGGCTTTACTAAGTCTATGTAGACACATCAACTGTTGTTCCTTCATTCTTCATCTTCGCCACCTCCTCAAAAAACTTGATCAAGTTACTGAGGTATGACCTCTCCTGCACAAAACCATGCTATTGCTAATAAGTCCATTTGCTTCTAAATGTGTATAGATCTTGATCCCGGAGAATCTTTTCCAATAATTTCCCTACCATTGATGTGAGTCTCACGGGCCTGTAATTTCCAGGATTATCCCTGATACCCTTCTTAAACAATGGGACAACATTGGCTATTCTCCAGTCCTCTGGGACCTCACCTGTGGCCAAAGAAGATGCAAAGATGTCTGTCAGTACTCCAGCAATTTGTTGTCTTGCCTCACTTACTTCTGGGAGCAGGCCATTTGACCCCTCAAGCATACTTATCCATTCTATAAGGCCATGGGTGATCTCAATGTGGCATTAACTCCACTTTCCTGTCTGATCCCTATAATCTTTAACTCCCATGTTGTCAAAAATCTAACTCAGCCTCGAATATACAGAAAACCTGAGCAGATTGTTGGTAATCCAGAGGCTTGTTTAGTGCTTTTAAACTCTTATTTACATTATACTTGTGAGAAAGTATCATTCCATTAATGATTTCTGTACAAAAAAAATTACAGTGCTGTTGGTCATCAGATTTCATTGATATGTGCACAGGTACATTTACGAGCATCAGTAAAAGTGTCTGACATAAAAATCCATCATAAGAGACCGTAAGACCATAAGACATAGGAGCAGAAATTAGGCCATTCAGCCCATTAAGTCACGGGCCGAATCATGGCTGTTAAGTTTCTCAACCCCCTTCTCCCGCTTTCTCCCCGTAATCCTTGATCCCCTTGACAATCAAGAACCGATCTATCTCCACCTTAAATATACTCAATGACCTGGTCTCCACAGCCTTCTGTGGCAGTTAAGTCCATAGATTCGCCACCCCGGCTGAAGAAATTTCTCCTTATCTCTGTTCTAAAAGGTCTTTCCTTTACTCTAAGGCTGTGCCCTCAGGTCTTAGTCTCTCTCACCAATGGAAACATGTTCCCAACATCCACTCTACAGGCCATTTAGTATTCTGCAAGTTTCAATTAGATCCCCCCCTCATCCGTCTAAACTCCAATGAGTTACAGTCCCAGAGTCCTCAAACGTTCCTCATATGTTAAACTTTTCATTCCTGGGAGCATTCTCGTGACCCTCCTCTGAACCCGCTCCAGTGTGTCTCTGTCAGATTTCTCATTATCATTGACATTGTAGTAACACCATTGCAATTTGTAAGGTTGTGTTGTTTTGTCTATTTTTAAACAATAGCTTGTTTTTATTCATATGGCTGACCACTGTTCAAGGTAGCAGAGATTCGGACTTGGTGGAGCTGTTGAGTTCTTGTGGTTTTGTAAGAAAAAGCCATTTTCCATCAACTTGTGTGTGTGTGTATGTGTATGTAATATGGGAACAGCAGTGGGGGGGGTTGGATATGGTGGGGGGGGGGGGGGGGTGTATGTAATATGGGAACAGTGGGGTGTGTGTGTATGTAATATGGGAACAGCGGGTTGTGTGTGTGTTTATGTAATATGGGAACAGCGGGGTATGTGTGTGTGCAATATGGGAACAGCAGGGTGTGTGCATGTGTGAGAGTGCGTATGTGTAATATGGGAGCAGCGGGGTGTGTGCGTGTGTGTAATATGGGAGCAGCGGGGTGTGTGCATGTGTGTAATATGGGAGCAGCGGGGTGTGTGCATGTGTGTAATAATGGGAGCAGTGGGGTGGGTGCGTGTGTAAACCAGGAACAGCGGGATGCGTGTGTGTGTGTAATATGGGAACTGCGGGGGGTGTGTGTGTCTGTGTGTGTGTGTAATATGGGGACAGTGGGGTGTGTGTGTATGTGTAATATGGGAACAGCGGGGTGTGTTTCTGCGTGCGCGCAAACTGAGAACAGCAGTTTGTGCGTGTGCACAACTTTTGTTTACCTTTCATGGGCATTAGCGGTCTGCATTTATTTATTTCTTCTTTATTTATTCACAGGATGAGGGCTGTTGCTGGCCAGGCAGCATTTATTGCCCATCCCTAATTGCCCAGGGGGCAGTTGAGAGTCAACCACATTGCTGTGGGTCTGGAGTTACATGTAGGCCAGACCAGGTAAGTATGGCAGTTTCCTTCCCTAAAGGACATTAGTGAACCAGATGGGTTTTTCCGACAATCGATAATGGATTCATGGTCATCATTAGACTCTTAATTCCAGATATTTATTGAATTCAAATTCCACCATCTGCTGTGGTGAGATTCGAACCCGGGTCCCCAGAATGTTACCTGGGTCGCTGGATTAACAGTCCAGCGATGATACCACTAGGCCATCGCCTCCCCCTTTATTGACCATTCCTAATTGCCCTTCAAACTGAGTGACGTATTAAGCCATTTCTGAAGGCAGATAAGAGTCAGCCACATTGCTGAGAGTCTGGAGTTACGTGTAGGCTGGACCAGATGAGAATGACAGATTTCCTCCCCTAAAGGACATTAGTCTTTGGTCTTCACAAAAAGCGCTGATGAGGTCACTATTACTGACATAGTTTTCAATTCCATATTTTATTTACTCAATTCAAATCTAATGTGGTGAGATTTGTACCCAGGTCCACAGATTAGTCTCAGTCTCTGGGTTACTAGGTCAGTGACATTACCACCATGCCCCTACCTCCCTGTGCGCAAGTATGTGTGTGTATGAGAGAGAGGGAGAGATATACAGTGAGTTTCTGAGACTGTGTATGCAAGAGGTCTCCCTGGGTTTACACTGATTCAAGCACAATATACATGGACTAGACTGTAAATAAACAGTTAAACTCCTTTGAACACTGTGTTACATGTGTGCCTGTAGCTGTATGTGTGTGTGTGAGAGACTGTGTTAGTGAGTAGAGGTGAATATAGTTGTTTGAGTGTGTGTTAGTGTGTGTGTATACCTCTCAGGTATAAGGCTCTCCACGCTGTTCTCACCTTCCCTCAATCATCATCATCATCATCATCATCATCTGCTCGTTCAAATCCACACTCTGAGGACTGTCACAGGACAGCAGTTTCAAGAACATGCCTGCTTCACCAGTCCCCTTTAGACATTACTCCCAGACGATTTTCAAATCAAACTTTCTGCGTTTCACATCTGACACAAACTGGTCACAATGACAGCGATGGATATCACGACAGTGCCTTAAATCAATGGAGGTCAGTTGGTTTTCTGTTGCCATCAGTAGCTGAATAGAGTCAGGTGACACACGGCTTTGGGACAAACACAGCTCCGCTAACTGCACTAGAGAAGTAGGCTGCTCCAGAACCTTCTGGAAAACCCTGTCCAGATTCACGTGGATGTTGATGAGGGATAGCTTCTCCAGCCTTGGTGATCCCCGCAGAGCGGAGATCAGGGCTGCTCCCAGGGAGAGCTGGGAAGTGCGAGGCATGACAGTGGAATCTAAAATCCTCAAACTGAAATCCTTTAAGTGGGGAAAATGCCAGTTTGTGGGAAGCGAAAGGCTCTCATCCAGCTGATTGTCATCGTCTTCACCATCGCTGTCCTCGTCTATCAGGGCGGAGTAGCAGTTCTGTGAAGGAGGATGCAGTAGAGCCTGGAAGACACGGAGACTGGGACAGAGTCCCAGGATATGGCTAATAGAAGTTTCCAGATGGTAGTGGAAGTTCTGAAGGGAGAGGAAGTGGAGACGAGAGCCCAGGCAGGTGAAAATGGGGACCATCTCACTCAAATTCCTCCTGTAAATGCCAGAGCAATCCACAGAGAGGTGAGTCAGCTGTTTCCAGGAATTAAGGCACTGCAGATCCCCAACCTCATCGTCAAGGGAAATTCTGGCTTCTACAATCTCTCTGCAGACGGATGTCACGATGGAGAGGTCTTGCCCTGAGCCTACATCCAACCGTCTCAGAGTGAGGGCTGTCTGTGAAGGGCTGTCTCCTGGTGTCACTGTGAAGCCTGAGGCCTCCTCCAGAGAGGGGAAGCCTTGGCCATGCAGAAACTGCTGGCCTTTCCCAAAGAGGCGCCTGTGAATCAGAGTTAGTGCTTCCACAAGGAAGGTGGGAGTGATGTACTCTAACCTGGGCAGAGCCAGTAGGAGAAAGGCCACAATAATCACCTGCTGCTCCATGGAGTCCGGGCAGAGCTGGATGCCTTCAGTCAGGAGCTTGCCCAGTCGCAGGGGGTTAAATGCTGCCCGGCTCTGATCGTACACCAAGTGCAGCAATGCCAAGGAGGTCACTGCTTTACACATCGACACATCCAGCTCTCTCAGCTCCCTGCAAGTACACCCAATAGCCGATAGCACCTGGAGGTTACACTGGGTACCCGACAGAGTCAACTTATAAAGGCGTGGCAGACACTCGATCAGATCCACCAGGAGAGACGAATGGATCCTGCTGCATCCATGTAAATCGAGAGCAGTTAGACCCTGCGGGATGGAGAAAAGACAAGACTGTCTATAGGAACCTATATTCATACAGTGGATGGGTGACTTTCACCAATGGCTGAATACTATAACACCCATGTCTTCATTCCAACCCCCATGCCATCCCTCACATTCCCGTTCTCCCATTCCCATATTCCCAACCCCCAATCCATCACCCACATTCTCACTCTCCCATTCCCATATTCCCAACCCCCAATCCATCACTCTCATTCTCACTTTCCCTACTCCCACATTCCCATTCTCCCATCTCCCTCATTCGTAACCCCCACTCCATCCCCATATTCCCACTCTCCCGTCTCCCTCATTCCTAACCTCCACTCCAACATCATTCCCACCATTGCCTAGTGATATTATCACTAGATGGTTAATCCAGAGACCCAGGGAAGTTCTGGGGACCCAGGTTTGAATCCTGCCATGGCAGATGATGGAATTTGAATTCAATAAATGTTTGGAAGTAAGAGACTACTGATGACCATGAAACCATTGTTGATTGTTGGAGATAAACCCATCTGGTTCACTGATGTCCTTCAGGGGAGGAAATGTATCTGCTCTGGCCCATGTGTAACTCCAGGTCCACAGCAATGTAGTTGATGGGTAAGAAATGTTGGTCTACCTGGCAACACTCACATCCCATGAACAGGAAAAAAACCAACTCACATCCTCCATATTCCCAACTGGCCCCAGTATCATGATTCCCCTCTCTCATACCCCACATTCCCACACTCACTCCATTGCCACCATTCCCACAATCCCATCTTGACTCCCTATATGAATGGCCTGCTAGTCTTTATTGCAAGGGGATTGGAGTATAGGTGTAAACAGTCCCTGCTTCAATGGTGTGATATTTTGATGAGACTATACCTGGAGTAATGTGTGCTTCTCCAAATTTAATAAAGGAGCAGGTACAGGTTCACTGTATTGGTCCCTGGAGGGGAGGGGCTGAGTAAAATACAATATTCTCCGGAGTTGAGAAGAATGAGAGGCAAACTCATTGAAACACCAGCATTTATTGCCTGTCCCTAGTTGCCCTTGAGAAGGTGGTGGTGAGCTGCCTTCTTGAACTGCTGCAGTCCCTGTGCTGTCGGTTGACCTGCAATGCCCTTAGGGAGGGAATTCCAGGATTTTGACCCAGTGACAGCGACATATTTTCAAGTCAGGATGGTGAGTGGCTCAGAGAGGAACTTTTAGGGGGTTGTGTTCCCATGTATCTGCTGCCCTTGTCCTTCTAGATGGAAGCAACATTCACCTGCACTCCCCACAATCTAGTCTACTGCATTCGCAGCTCACAGTGTGGTCTCCTCTACACTGGGGAAACGAAGTGTAGACTGGGTGACCGCTTGGCAGAACATCTATATTCTGCTCACAAAAAAAGACCCTATGCTTCCAGTTGCCTGCCACTTTAACACACCACCCTGTTCCCTGACCAACTTCTCTGTCTCAGGCTTGCTGTAGTGTTCCAGCAAAGCTCAACGCAAGCTGGAAGAACAACACCTAATTTTCGCCTGGGGACCCTGCAGCTCAGCAGACTCTTTATTCATTCACTAGATAAAGGCGTTGCTGGCTAGACAGCATTTATTTCCCATCCCTAATTGCCCAGAGGGCAGTTAAAAGTCAACCACATTGCTGTGCGTCTGGAGTCACATATAGGCCAGACCAGGTAAGGATGGCAGTTTCCTTCCCTAAAGGACATTAGTGAACCAGATGGGTTTTTCCAACAATCGATAATGGATTCATGGTCATCATTAGATTCTTAATTCCAGATATTTAT